TTATTCTCCATTTGTGCTGCAACCTTTCACTTGTTTCTCATGCTTACCAAGTAACTTATAGCATTTATAAATCTGGGAAAATGTGCACTTGACTGCTTCTTTCAGAAATTGTCCAGCTGATGTAATGCTTAATAAATGCATATCTCTGCAGGATCCAAGTAAAAAGTTTAAAGGCGACGTGATGGACCTTCGCCTGGATATTGAAAGACGCAAGAGGTTTGCTGGGAAGGAGCGCGACTACAAGCGAGAAGGAGGCAGGAGCCCAGCAGGCTCCAGAGGACCGAGCAGAGAGAGGTCCTCTGAGAAATCAGGGAAGCACCACAAGAAATCCAAGTATGTTCATTCTGTTATTTCAGTTTGTCATAGACTCCTCTAGAGATCTTGAATAATCCTGTTCTGGTGGTGATGTGCTTCAAATCAGCCACAGGGGATTGTCACACAACATTTGGAGCAGTGGTTACTGGGGATATGTTGGGTTGTTTGCGAAGATGCAAGACAGACGTTACCGCATCATCCTCTTCACCCACCTAACACTACATTAGAATTTCAGTGTAAGAGGTGGGAGGCAAAATCCACAGTTCTCATTCTGCATGAAAACACACTTTATCTGATGCCAAGAATGAGCAGCTTTAGACAAATCAGATGCAAAATGTGGGTTGATATTCCTCTACCAGAGCTCAGAGACTCGTACAAAGGGAGTTTTGTACTAAAAAGAAAGTAACTTTAGAAGATATTCACTTGATTTGCTGCAGATTCATATTATTTATCTTACGGCTTCAGCTGAAGTTGTGAATGTGTTGGAATACTGCACTGGAATCACTTTATAAAAGGTCTCTTTGTTTATGCAATAACATTTGCATGAACAAAAAAACTTTTCAATGCACAAATGGATGTGTCTAGCTTCACAATCTTTAAATCTCTCTATTCTTCAACACAACATACAGCTTTAATACAGCTGCTGGAGAGAGGATCAGAAAACGCTGAGCTTGCTAGCTAGGAGATGAAAGTAAGACCTGGATCATGGGGAGTTGAACAGACTGTGTAAACCACAGCTGCTCCTGTGCAGGACCACAGCATCACGGATCAGCGTAGTCGTCCTCTGCTGTCAAAGTGTACACGATCATAGTATTTACAGAGGGAGCAGGCCAACACAATGTCCACGAAACTGTTTACCATAGCTGTGGTGTTGCTTTACATGATCATTGCCATCTTTTCTTTTCTTCCTTGGGCTGGCTA